GAGTCACTGCCTGGAGATAAATCCCATTCCCAGCCAAATGCTGTCATGAGAAGTCACTCTGTCTTCTCTCTCCTCTTACCTCCTCCCTCCAACAGAATCCAGATCCCCACAGTTTCTATTTCAAGCCCCTCCAGCAGGGTACCTCAGACGACCTTGCTTCTCAGGCCTCTTCCTTACCAGCCCCCTTGCCCCCCAAGCCTGGCTCTGCCGTGCCCCTCAGAACCTCCTTGGGTCTCCTGGATTTGAGCCACTCCTCTCACAGTGAGGTCGAAGCATAGATGGCCAAGGATACGACCTCTGAAACCTGGCTACCTGGGCACAAATCCTGGCTGGATCACCTTGGGCAAGTCACTCACACTGTGCCACAGTTTGTTCACCTGCAAAGTGGGTAAGAAAATAATAGCACTTCCCTGGATGACAAACGCTTCTGGACTTGTACTGTTTCTATGTACCAGGCTGTCTTCAGGAATGGTACCTGCATTGAGGCATTTAATCTTCACAAAGCCCCTGAAGGAGGTGCTCTCATCATCCCATTCACAACCAAGGACATGGAGATTAATTATAAGTGTCCACAGCTGCACAATGCAAGTGGGAAAGGTCTGACCCAAACGAGGGGGTAAAGTTCCAGCCTCACGCAGTTGTTGGGAGGATTAAATGTACTATGACAATGCCTGGCTCACAGAAGCCACAGCAAGTATCAGCTGCTAAGAACGTTATTATGACCTCCCTTCCCAACTCCTGGGAGCCCGCTTGGTCCTGCAGCCTGCTATGTTTATCCAAAGGGCTGCTGCAGACCCCCCTGCCAAGCCTCCTCTGCCCCACCCTGGCACTGGTCCACCGGCATCCTGAGAACAAGGCTGATACCACCCACCCCCGAGTTTGGCCCGTTTTCTAGTCAATTGTCTGCATGTCCTCTCTCCACGGATGGCTGGAATCTCAGCTCATCTCAACTCCAATGTCCCAGAGGACAGTGTGAACTCAATGTGAAATAACACAGGACTGGAGTGATGGAGATGCCTGCGACATCCTGGGCCTGCACAGGTTAAGGGCGACAACAGCAGGGACTGTGGCTCACTGACCCCATTTCTTTCCCTGACACTTGGCAGGGCTTTAGGAAGACTGAACCGAGCCTGGACAGTATGCAGACTGTCCAAGGGCAACTACTGGCAGCAAATGAGAAGGCAGAAGAGGAGGAGACAGCACGACCTTTAGATGAGCTAGCCTCAGATCCTGCACTGCCCTCTAGCTCTGTGTCTCCACACAGGTTTTTATAAGCTCTCTGAGCCTCAGTTTCCTCACCCACAACAAAGTAATAATGCTGCCTTTGAAGCAGAGCATCAGGTATGTTCACAAAGGACTTTACGGATACAGCACGTAGCCATGGACCCTCACTTAACAGGTGTTCAGTAGCTGGTCATCATCACTGTTGTTTGCTTATTTTAGTGTTTAGGGAGCAGCAGTCAGTAGTCCTGGTTTCCATTCACCTGCTAACCACCTTTGCTCTTGAGCGAGTCATTTCTCCTCATCTCTCCCCATGATGACCTGGATGACCTGTAAGATGTTCTTCGATGAGCTACTTGCATCTCTGAACTATACCCTCTCTAGAAACTCAGAACAAACTCCTCTCCCAAATGGTACAGATGCCACATCTCACTCTGCCCTGGCAGGAGGGCACTAAGTGTGCAAGTTTTCTTAGAAGGAGGACTCTATCCCTGGTCCCAAATCCCTAAGGCATGAACAGCTTAACTGTGGCTTAAAGGGGAAAAAAAATGAAGAAAAGTAAAACAACCCCGGCGTGAGGCCAAACTCCACACTGCCTCTCCCATTCTATATATATCAGCTGTCATGTGAGAAGCAGGCAGCAAAGAGGCTCTGGTTTGTTCCCCAGTGACACATGCTACGATGAGAAAAGATCCCTTCATTATGTGTCCACTTAGAGCTCGTTCCAACATGCCACAAAGTGGAAGTAATTAAGGAATCTGTGTAAACCTCGGGGCGACCTTCCCTGGGCCTCCAGCACACAGCTTCGCACATGTGGGCACGTGGCAGCATCAGCCCCAGCTTCCCTTGGCTGTCCAAATTAAGATCTGATGGTGGCCTGTGCATGGCCTGGTGCTAAGTGCGAGCATATGGGTGAGCACCAGGCTCTCAGGCAGAGCCAGGTGGGTACAGGAGGGTCGGGCACACGTGCAAACACCTATGGGCTGGATTCTTCCACGCTTGCCCAGGTGCAAAGGCAGGAGCAAATGAGTGTGGACAGCCTTGTGCCAGTTTGGAGGCAAGTCTGCATGGGAAGTCCTCCTCTTGCCACATTAAGACTATCAGGCCTTATTTAGACTCTGGCCCCAATGTCCAGGCAGTGGTAACAAGGTGGAGAAATTTCTTCACCTTTCCTGCTCCTGCCCTCTGCCCAGGGAACCTGTAGGCCGGAGGAAACCACACTGGAAGAGGGCTGAGGAGACTGGTTGCTCACCCTCAGCTGGTACAGCAACAACAGGCTCACAGAGGACTAGTAAGTTCCACGGCTGCTTACTCTCAATTCTGTACTCTCCTGTCCCACTCATTAGCAACAGTTCATGGACAGGAAGCAGAAATAGTTTAACCTCAAGAAAAGTACCCCCATCCACTGTGCTCTACAGACTGGAATGGAAATAAAAGGATCAATAATGAAACCACTGGGTTTGGAAAACGATATAATTCCACGCCACTCTCTATGGCACCCAATTCTCCTTCCACAAGTAGGGGACAATGAGCCCGGTGCCTCTCTTGTGCTGAGACCTGCTGAGGAAGGCAGGACTGACTGGCTGCCTATCAGCTCACGAGGAAAGTCACTAGGGGGGCTCTTGGCAGGCCAATGGCACTGCCTAGATAGGTCTCCCTGGAATACCAGGGATTTAGCTCAGTGGTATAAGCATCTGCTCAGCAAGCCCAAAGTCGTGAGTTTGAACACTGTACAAAACAAAAAGTCACCCAGGAATAAGTACCTAGACAGTGAACTCCCATGAAGGCAGGTCAAAGTCTTATTCATCTTTCGTTTCAGTGTCAGCACAGTATTTGATATAAGGCAAGCACTCATGGATGGCCTTTGGATTGAATAGAATAGGTAAATAAATAAGTCATGTCATGACTGAGACTGGGGGTGGGACAGTAAGACATGAAATGGAAGCTCAGGTGTCTCCTTCCTTCTTCCCTTCTGTTTTCTTCAAGCTCAGAAGATTGTGAGTTTCCTATAAGGAAAGCAAATCCTAAACCCCTCTCTCCATCCAACCCATCAAAGAGCTCAGTGTATGCTCAGCAAAGATGGATCACCATGACAACTAGCAAGCGCCACCGCAGAGGCAGCTCTGTGAAGCCCACTTCCCTTCCTCAGGCACCATGGAGGAAACTGGTGCTCCTCGACGTTCGGTGGAAAGCCCACCTCTGACAACAGTCTCTCTGCCCCTGACAGCACCCACCCGATGATCTATCAGTCACTCTTACTTGCAGCTGGTGAGGGAGGTCTTGCAGCTAACTAGCCCCAGAGATTCTACATGCCAGTCTGCATTAGATGCTAAAAGCAAAAGTCCTCTCACCAGCTCATGGGATAACAATTAGGAACGAGGGTCTGGGTAGGTGAATGGAGATCATTAGACTCTAACAATGTGGCACACACATAAGGAAGCCATTACACTAAGAAAACTGCAAATGTAAAAATAGAGCTCCACATAGTTTCCTGGTTACCACATTCTAATTCTGATGTTCTGTCAGTGCCAATGAAATTTAGTTTTCTTGTGTCCTCGGCCATGTCCTGGTCCTGTTGCATGTGTACTTAGGGTGAGAGGAGTTGGCTCACTGTTTGAATGCCCCATTCCTATGCTGGGATTTTCCTCTGCAAAGCTTGCCATGGAGCAGTGAGTGTTTGCACAGTCACAGTGGACCTAAGACTACTGCTGTGGACCTTTCAAAGAGGTCTCAAAAGGATCAACTCATAAGCCAAGGTGACACTAGCCCATCTGTCTAGCAGGTCATAGTAAAGGAAGGAACTGTGGGCAGCTATTGGTGCCAGATTCTGGCAGTCTGTGCTCTCCGCCCCAGCCTCATCCACCAGGCCAGGGTACCGAGATGTGGCTGTTAGGCAAACCTTCTGGACAATGTTAAGTTTTCCAAGAGCAGGTTCATTACTTTGCTGGGGCAAGATTCCACTGCTCTAGGAACTACAGAGCAGTGCTGGGTCCCTGCAGTGTGCAGTCTTATGTATCTCTGGTGTGATCAGAGCATCCTCTAGGCAATTTTTTCATGCTATAAGAAAAATCAAGATACACCCCAAAATACTGCTAAGCATTTGGCATCTGACCCAGTTAGGACTTGACCTAAAGCATACACGACACTCACTTATTCACCCCTCATTTGTTCATTCATAGACAGTGGCACCTGAGAAATCACCTGAAACAAGTCCTGTCTCTGCTCAGAAGCAACATCACTATGTGTGGTCACTGTCAGGTCCCTGAGGTTGTTAACAATGTAAGAGACCAGGTGATATGTTGCAACACATGGTGACCCCAGGAAAGACTTATGTGTGGAAGCATCCTGTTAAAACCAGGCCTGGGAAAGGACACAGTTGCAGGCAGCTGACCAGGTGGCCCTAGCTGCCTCCCTCACTCCCAGCACCTACACACACTACACACCTAGGCTTCACACTTCCCATTATTCCAGTTTGCCCCCTTTTATAGAATCTCTCTCTCTTTCTCTCTCTCTCTGTTTCTCTCTCTCTCTCTCACACACACACACACACACATAGTGACTCTCACAACTGAGTAATGGACCAACATGGCACCCCACATGCTTCTTCCTATCCTGACCAGGAAATACATCTGGACTTCATGGAACTCCAGGTTGAGTCAAATGTGGAAAAACTCCCAAGTATGGGTCATAGGCTAGTGTCTCATTGTCAAGAGATGGACCTGTGTGGGCAGTGAAAAGTGCCAAGCCATTCTAGGAAGTCTTCCCTTCAGAGCACTTACCCACACCAGAGAAGCTGCCATCTGTCCTGCTTGGGGGGCTGGAGTAGCTGTCATGGGCCCAGCTGGCCTGAGGGAGTGGGCCAGGCTCCTGGTCTGTCTGTAACCTGTGGGACCAAGAAGGAGCGATCAGTCAAGGCCTCTGAGCCCTTCCAGTGTTACAAAAACTCAAGCCTGACTTTCTCCTGTAGGTACACCCCTATAATATCGGTTGTCTTTTGGTGTTATACTCATTCACAGGACAGTGGGCACTAGAAGGTCGCAGGAGGTCAGGAAAGGAGCAAAAGGCTCAGCCTGGGTCACAGTGACTCCTGGGAGGGCAGGCCCACCCTGGCCAGTTATGGCAGCAGGAAGGAAGGGTGAGGTCTCCGTGCACCAGCTCCCCAGTGCTCACAGACCTCTAAGCACAACCCCAACTGTACACTGTCTCCCAGGAACAAAGGCCGTGGGAGCTTTCATTATAGGCAATTACCCTGGGCTCTTGGAGCTGGCCCGCCCATTCCTCTACTAGCTGTTGCCAGCTAAATGGATCCTTTGGCAGCTTTGGCAGGAGGGGGAGGGGAAGACTATGCAGCAGAAGGGGAAACTGACAGATTGGGCCAATGGCCCTGTAGTCTCCAGTGCTGCTGAGATTTGTCTTTCTCATGCTCCAGCTTGTATTTCTTTCCACACCTAGACAGCTACCACTTGGGCCCAGCTCTGCTGTGAACTCATTGTATAACTGGCAGCAAATCTCTTTGCCTCTTGGGGCCTGGCTCCCATCACAGAGCAAAGGGATAACCTCCAAGGCTCAGATCAGTCTGACTTCTGGGGTTGCAGGAGGTATCTATGGCCTCTACTAGGCTCTCTCTAAACCACTCAGGCTGTGTTGGGCTCTCCTAGATCTGCAGGTCCCAGGGTGGGTAGCACTGGGAATAATGCAGGGTGAGGTGAACTCCAAAAAGCAAGAGACCTGGTCTCCAGGGGTGCTTGGTATGATAGGAACACTCTGCCTGGCACAGGAGTATAAAGGGGACAGAGAAAGCTGGAGTTGGCTGACTTACAAGTTAGCATAGATTCTGGTTGTTGAGCTAAGAAATGCAACATATTGGTTAAAAGGCAATAGAACATTCTACTAGAGAGAAGAAATCCTATGTAATGTATCAAATGTTTCTCTGAATAACACTGTCTTTGTAAAGAGCTATGAAATAGGACTTTTCTGCTATCCTGATTATTACTGGCATTGACAGCATGCAAGGAACTTTGATCCTAGGAGCATGGAAGAGGCCAGCCTTTAGCCCCCTGTCCTCAGGCAGTTTTGCACTTGAGTGCATGCCTGCCTCCCCCAATACACCAGGCCTCCAAGTCTGCCTACCTATCAGCCCAAAAGGACAGCACTACTTACGCTACGAGCAGAAATTGGACCAGAATGAAGAAAACCACAATGGTGACACCGATAACCTTACACTCCTGATACTACTAACCAGAATTTCCTAAGTGAAGTCCAACCCAGGATTACTTAGTAAAGGAAGGAGTGACTGTTGGGGCAGCAAGAAAGAGTAAGGGCTCTTGTACGGCTGCCGGGGTGCTTTTCCAGGAACACTGGAGGGGCGTGAGGAAAGAGGTAAGACCAGAGGACCCAGAGGGCAGTCCATGGGACATTGCGCCTTCTCTTGGTCAGAGAGCTGGGGCATTCAGAGAAGGTGGCAGATGGCAGAAGACTGACTTCACTGGGAGAATCGAACCCGAATCCTTTTGAGAAGAGATGGCTGGGAGGATGGGGCAAGACAAAAGGTAGCTGATGGATTCATTCCCTAGAGAGGCAGGTCAGGTGCAACTTGACCAGGCTAGAGATAGACAGGGAGCCCTGGAACCTCTGCTTCTGCATCCACCTAGGGTTTTGCAACAGGCCAAAGTACTGGAAGTGGGGAGCAGATTTCCACGAAAACAGGATGTCTGCAAATTCTAGAGAGCAGATGGCACCTCTCTGGCTATGAAGCTTGGAAGGGCGGCCCAGCCAGGCTCTTGGCAGAGTTGCCCACGGCAGCAGCTTTTGGCCCTGCAGGATGTGCTGGGGCCCTGCCATCTGCCTGAAGTGTCTTGGGGTTTCCTTGGTCCTACTCTCACCCTTGCCTTGTCTCACTCATTACCCTCTCTCCAGCCCTAATCCAGGACCTGAGAAAGAAGCAAGGTCTAGGCGGTGGAGTGGCAAAGAAAATCCCTACTGAGATGATGCAACATGTTTCCACTTGTGTTTAAAATGAAAACATGCAACAAATGTTTGTTGAATAAGGGAGATAGGATTCTATTTAAGTTGCACTGAAATCTTCAGAGAAAATATTCTGACCTCCCTTGGAAAATATCAGATTCTAAATATATCAAGGGACTTCTACAGTGGATAATGTAAAATCTTAAAAGTTTAATGCCTAGATACTTTCCCCCAAGGAATGTATTCAAAACAAAAGGGTAACAGGTAAGAGAAGAAAGTTCAAGGGTCACCAAGAAAACATTTAGCCAACTGGAGAAAGGACATTCATAGGAAGGTAGCGGTTGGGCTGTAGCTTAGTGGCAGGGTATTTGCCTAACTGGTGACAGGGCCTCGGTTCTATCCCCAGAGCCACAGGAAGAAGGTCTACCCTACATTTTTGCCTCTTAAGTTCTCTCATCAGTTTTAGAATCTAAGTTAAGAAAGCCACGAGGCACAGAGTGTACTGTCCCTTTTGGAAAACAAAGTTATTGCACTTTGTGGGCAGGATAGTCCAGCAGAAGGGATGGTTAAAGAACAAGGGCTCTTTACAAAAGAACAACTGGCTAAGAACTCCCTTTGGCTATGGAAGTTGCTGGAATCCCTGCAGTGATAGAGTTCACTGCCTGACAGCCAATTTACAATCCTCTTGAGTTGCTGGAAAGTTCTATCAAGCCTCAAATCTGCCTTGAACTAACCACCATGATGCTGAGTCAGCTATTTGGAGCTGCACCAAATAAATCTAATTCATCTCACAACACAACAGCCTTTCAAATATTGGAGAACAGCTCTCAGGTCCTTCTAAGTCTTCTTTTTCCAAAGCAAACTTCTTTAGTTCCTTTAATCACTTTTATAATTTTTTTTTTATTCTTTACTAGCCTTTCAATCTTTCCCTAAATGTGTCTTGGTATTTCTGTCCTTTGAAGATATGGTGCTCATAACTGAAAATAGCATGCTGAAGGAGAACTGAACACAGCAGAATATAGTGGGACTATTTATTTGCTTCTCCTAGACTCCAAATACATATTACTATAGTACAAGGCTGCACTGGATTGCCCAGAGGTTAAGACACAATGAGTTGGCTTCCAATGAAGGCTTAAGTCCCTAGTGGGTCTGTGCCTCACGATCAGCCTCTCTGATACCTCCCAGTGTCTAGGAAGCAAATGTGCAAACTTTTCTACACCCAAATGTAAATGAGAGCTTCTCCTGCATGAGTATAGGAAAGAATCAGGAAGTCAGTTTACTCAGGAAGGTACTTAGTGAGCATTTGAGTTTTCCTTGACTGTATCATAATTCATAATTAAAATTAGAAATTAAAATATTAGTAACTTAATGCAAGCAAATGATACTTAAGGTGGTCATTTTAGTGAAGAGTTAAACTTTTACTTAACAAGCATAGTTGGCTACGTGTTTTTTCTCTGTGCTTAACTTGTCACATCTTTAAAGAGCCGAGAGAACAGGTTTAGTGACCACACTGTTGTGAATACTGGTCAACCACTGCCACTGTCAATGATAGCAGTGCTCATATTTTTAATAGCATCATTGACTGCTGGTGCTTGCACACCAACAGATATGTACAGGCCAATATAATAGCTGGAACGACAAGGAAATACAAAAGAGAGAGAGAGAGAGAGAGAGAGAGAGAGAGAGAGAGAGAGAGAGAGAGAGAGGAATTATTATGGAAACAACACTGTGAAACAGGGTTTTATTCACCATAAAATGAAGGCACAGTGTTCAGGACAATGCAGTTTGTCTTATGCACAGTGGTGGCAAATGTTCAATATGAATCAAGCAGGACAGGTATACCTACTGACCCATCTATATATCTAGTTGCTATGGTTTAGATCTAGAATGTTCTGGAAAAGTCTGTGTTCAGTGGTAGGGCTTTTGGAAGATGAATGGGTCACAGAAGCACTATACTCTTCAGTGGACTGATCCATTTGATGAGTTCATAGGTGAGTATGTTAGGAGGTGGCACCCAGTTAGAGCAGGTCTCTGTAGGTTTGCTTTGGGAGAAGGTATCTCCTTCCTTGGCTCTTTGCTTCCCTCTCTGCTTCCTGGCTGCCACAGGATGAGCAAACATCCTTTTCCAGGGCTTTCCAACATGCCCTTTGTGTCTTAGAGCCAGCTAACAATAAACTGAACTCTCTGAAATCTGAGGCAAAATAATGCTCTCCTCTTTAAATTGTGGGTGTTGCATATTTTGTTCCAACAACAGGAAAGTGACTAACACACTAGCTGTTTAAGCATCCACAATACCTAATATACCATGTCATCATTTCTCAAAAAGCAAGAGAAATGGACATATTAAGGATACCATCCCTTATGAGTCTGTTTTCTGTGGAGTCCCCAGCGTACAGAAAGATCACAGGTTAGTTGGGATCCATTTTGTGTTCTTGGTCCCAGCTCAGCTTGCCAAACCCCCAACTCTCTAGGCCTCCACCTGCCCAGCTTCTTTCTCCATACCCTGGAGGCCCTTGGTGTCCATCACCAAAGCCCCCTCCTCCAGCTCTGCCCTTAGTGCCAGCTGCATTCTTCCCTCCTGTCCTTCCTGGCTGCTTCCCCAGCTCACCTGTACCGGAAGGGGGCCACAGTAGCTGTGATGGGCTGGCTCTGCTGATGGACCGAGGAGAAGCTAATGGTTCCTGGGGTGGGAGAGGCATGCTTGCTCTGCGCTGGGCTATAAACTGGAGAGGAGGCTCCTGAGGCTGCTCGATCAGCAGGCTCTGCAGAACGTGTGTAGTTTATATCTCTTTGATCTTTTCCTGGGCAGTTAGGAGGCTTTCGACCTTCAGGAGCCTCTGGTATTTGAGTTTCTCCATGAGCACTTGTCTGGGGTGGGCTCCTGCCTCGGGTCTGGCGGACTGGAATCCCTTCCTGGGTCTTCTTCTTCTTTCCATGGGTGCCATGTGTCTCCCCAGCCCTTCTGGATCCTGCCTGGCTAGAGAGGGCTGCTTTGGGGGTTACTCTGGGACTGCTCCAGGGAGAGCTGGGAAGGCCTTCACCACTCTCAACCAACTCTCTCACTACCCCAGAAGCCCTTGGGGAGCCTCTCCCACGCGAGGCCTTGGGTGAGGAGTTTCTGGAAGAGCCCACATTCTTGCCCAGCCGTGGGGAGGCTGCTCGCTGTGGGCTGAGGGCCAGGTCAGCCTGGCGCGATCGCAGCTGGGGAGATGCACCGGGTGTGGGAATCCTCGTCTGGGAAGAGGCTCGGGGCACAGGGATGGAGGATGTGTAGTGAGGGCGGCTGGCGGAATTCACGTTGGCCATCCCATTCATGGTGTAACTGGCAGAGTGGACTACTGTCCTGCAAAGAGGGAAAGGAAGGACACAGTCAGAGAGGAACCATGCTGCTGGGGCCGGTAGAGAAGCGCAAGCACTCGGGCAGGGCATGAGAACCACTGGGTTCCCATCCTGCCTGATCTGTAAATCCCTGTACTCTTCTGCTGTGAAGGGCAAAGAGGCTTTTGCCAGCTCTTATTCGAAAGTGCTTTGCAATGCAATGCTTCTCTTAAGTTCCCTTGACTCTGTTCCACTGTTTAGGGACATAGCCTCTCCCCTCTCTGATGTTTCCTGGTACTGGAGCCTACAGTGTCCTGCCCATGGTAGACAAACTCCCTCATGCCTTCAGCCTTTTCTTTTAATGCTTCTGCCACACACATACTCAGCTGGCCTCTGGATCTCTCCAGGACACCTCTCCAGTGAAGTACAATCTTCTTCCCCAGGCCCTTACAGTCACAACTCTCCCAAATCGTAAACTTGCAATTGGCAGCCCACTCTCCTAAATGCGCCTGCCACCCTGCTGCCTCCGCCTCCACAGTCACTGGGAATTTGGGCACCTGGATCACAGTCTTCCTCTCTACACATTCCCTACAGATACCTTCCATTCTGGCAAAAGGCCTCTGTCGCCTCCTGAGCCAGCAACTCAGCTGAGACTGAGTGTCCCACCTTTGGCTGGAGACAGCTCCCTCTCCACACTTCCTGCCAACAGCACTTGATCTGTCCTCTTCCAAACCTTGAGTCGGTAATTATCTCATCTCTCTCCAGGATCTTAAGCCCTCCCCCTGACTCGCTTCCCGCTCTGCCATGTTAATTAATGAAGTAATCATTCTCATTTCAAAGGGAATTCGCAGTATTTACAAAGACACATGCCACCAACTTCAGAATCATTAAAGAGTTAAATGTAAAAGATGAAAGTATAAAAATTTGCAGAACAAACATGAATGTCTCCACAATTTTGTTATGGGATGTACTGCATCAAAGACAGAAACCAGAAAGGAAATACTGATGGATTCTGAGTACATAAAAATTAAAATCTCTGCCTGGACCAACAAAATAAGACACCCTTTTAAGAAGTTCCAGGTATCAAAAAACAACAAAACAGGAAAAAACGTAAAAAGGTTTCCAACAAGTATGAAAAACAAGATCTATCAACTCAATAGTAACAAATTGCTCCATAGAATAAAAGGCAAATATAAGCAAGAAACTTACAAAATAAAAAATATGATTAACCACAACAAAACAGAGATAAAGACTCCCACAGGAATTTAATATGTGCAAATTAAGTACTTTCTGATTTGTTGGGATCGACTTTACTTTCAATTAGAAAATTATGAGTGTTGTTAACATACCGCAGAGGGAACAACGCTGGATCTAGAACTAATCCTAGAAAAAGGTTAAGGATGTGGGCAAAGATTTGCGTACAATGGAAATACTCCAGTTGCCTCTTACAGGGTTGAGTTGTCAGTGGGTGCAGATGGAGTTAAAGGACATCTGGGACATGAAAAACCACCAAAGCATAGCCAGTCCACCTGAGACCAGAGAGCCCTCTTGCGTACTGCGGATGAAGCCGTCAGCAAAAGCATGAGCTGGCTGACGGCAGTTGTTGGCTTTTCTTTGACCTTTGACGCTGTAGTCTGCGACCAGCTATAGACTAAACTCTAAGAAGTCAATGCAGAGTGTTAAGCACTGATAGATTAATAGAACCACAGCTCCTAGTACTATGAGAGTAACGGTTTACAGGAATGCTCTGCCGACATGTAAAATGATTTCTGCAAGAAAGAGAAATACTGTGATCCCTCCCCTTTTCCTCTAATTTGTACTTAAATAACTTGATGACATTATTGGACGGGCTAACACATATCCAAGGGCAGCCAAACTTCAACTTCCTCCTCAACTATCTCATGCTTCTTCCAGTCACTCACCTACCCGGCTACAGACTGAAGTGATGCTCTGCTGCCCACAGTCTCAGGCACAAACATGCTGAAAAGCACGCCATAAAAGGGACTGAGAAGTACTATAGAAGTACAGAGCTCAGGGCAGTCAAGCAGGTAGTGTCAGCTGCTGTGAAAATTAGAAAAAATTATTGAACCTCTCCATGCCATGTGCAAAATGAGGGCAAAGTTATATGCAAGCTGCAGACAGAAAGAAGACTGGGAGTTTTTGAGACTAGAAAAGAACACTATTTTTAAACCTGAGGATGTGTAGTTAGAATTCTCCTCCAACAGAGATGACAGTGGATTTACTTTGTTATCTTTCTACACAAATACCTTTTTTGTTTGTTTGTTTGTTTGTTTTTTGTTATTGTTGTTTTTTGTTTTATTGGTACCGGGGATTGAACTCACAACCGCCTGCTTGCAAGGCAGGTGCTTATGCCGCCGAGCTAAATCCCCAGCCCCTATACAAACAGCTTTTTAATAAGTGGTCAGTTAGTCAGTCTGCTAAGCCAGGGCAGAAGTATAAGTGTAGATCTCCTCAGAGATGTCGATTATGCTGAGCTGTTCACTGTGGCCTCTAGCACAAGCTGGACTGAGCACTGGCCAGCTGGTTAGCTCAGACCTCCAAAAAGGGCCTTAGACTATTGACCTACTGCACCCAATTTCCAGACTTCAGCGTTCCCAAGTTTGATCCTCTCACTGGCAAGGGGCCATGTGGCCCACTTCTGCTGCTGCCTTTACAATCAAACCCCACCAAATCCAGAGTGGGGACCAAAGTCAATTAGGCACTCCAGAGTGCCCCTTCTGGAGGCTACATTTGGAATCAGTACCCAGAACTGAATCTTGCCTCCACCTGGTTCTCTTCTGAGAATGATTTCTTGGCTCAGGTTTTTTGCTGAGGACCCTCACTGCCACCACTTCTGGGAACGTGACTCACCTGTCTAGTCTTCCATGCAACCCCAGATCCCAGCTCTGCAGTGACAGGCCTCGATCCCCTTGGCCCAGACTTCCCTAGGCTCTGTGGCTGTGGCTGGCTAATCTTCTAGCTCAGAGCCTGAAGGCTGAGGACACTGCTCCTCCCTCACTTGCTAAGGAAGCGCAGGCAGCCGTTGCTCCTACTGGCTCATCATTTTTTCACAAGCTTGAAGGGGAGAGGATTGTGAGATGCTCCTATGGCAGCTCACAGGAGCTCCACCCTCCCTCTCCACTGCACTCAGGACCCTACTCTCTCTCTCTTCAGATGAGTGGGAGCCAGAGGCATACAGAAATGTGCCAACCCTGTCTCTGGTGGAACGGGGGAGAACATGACTAGCCTTGGGATGATGGAGGGCTCCCTGGACAGTGAGTGATTCTAGTTTGTAGTAAAGGGATCACCAAGAAGTCTTCCAGGTTTGCCTTGGGGGGACCCCAAAATACTCAGCACCCATAGGGGAATCTTCTAAGACACTACGCACAAGTGTTCCCATCTTAGAACTTACAACCATCTCTTTTATTGAGACAGTATTTCTAACCCTTACAACAACTAGAAAGGCAGATTTTATTACCTCTGTTTCACAGGTAAGGAAAATGAGGCTGAAGTTAAGTGAGCTGCCCGAGACATGCAGAGCTAGAAAATGGTAGAGTGGTGTGGCTCAGGACAGCCAGCCAGGCCTCTGAGGCTCCAGTATGGATCCCTGTCTTGGTTCTGCTCACCACTGTACATGCAGACTAAGCCTACATATCTCCAGTCTTTTCCAGATATAGGGATGGAGTTGGAAGTGGGAGTAGGGAGGCTGAATCTAGCTTATAGATGAAGGATATCACAGGCAGCCCATTTTGAGGTCAAGTTGTCTTCCTCTCCCATGTCCTGCCCCTGGTCCCATGGACTGCAGTGAGCTGACACTTAGACTCTCATCATCTTCTCAGCTAGAGTAAAACATTTATAAGCCCAAAATGCTTCTTGGCAGTGTCCCAGAGGAGACTATAAGTAGAGTGAAGAAGAGGAAGGAGATGATGGGTCTAATCCAATCTGGCCACAGGGTTGCCGTGCTAGTTGCTGTGGAAGGAGTGCAGAGTGGGAAGAAATATTCTGGGATTATGGGTCTTGACCATCGGGGTAAAGAGGTTGGGGAAATGGGGGAGAGAGTACACATGGATTGTTGGTCTCTGAGCCTCAGATCCATGGACAACGGTGTGCCCAAAGCTCAAGGCTCAGGCCCTTGCCCAGGATATTTCTACTCGTATGCACATAGATGCCTGTGGCTGTGGCATCCAATCTAGATTCTTAATGGATTTGAAAGACTCCCCACTGGCCCAGAGCTCAGTTCCCATCTTGCTTTATCCATACTTCCTTCTGTCTCAGATCTTGAGCAGGCTGAATAAGGAAATGCTAGAAAAATGTTTGGTCTCCTGACAGAGTTACCTGTAATGGTTTCCATTTTCCAGACCACAGTTTTACACAAAAATGACCAGAGAAACAGTATCAATCACCCTTTGTGTTACACTCACAATGTGTTTGAGGAAGCTCAAAGAAAGTTGGGGATGGCACTGCAAGGAGAAGCAAGGGGCCCACTGCATGTGTGTGTGTGCGCGTGTGTAGTGGAGGGACCCTATGAGAACCTTCACGCACAAATATGTTCTTTTAAGCAAACTGATCTGAAATTTTACTTAACCTCAATGAATAAAAGGAAGGCCTCAGTTCCTGAGATCTCTGTCCTCAGTAAATCACATTACAGATTTATTATTTCCATGACAAACAGCATCCCATTCACAAAAGAATCCATGGCAAGATCCCTTTGTTCCATAACTACGCACCCTGGTTGGGCACCTTCCACATGCCAGGTGCTGCAGCAGTCACTATGGCCGAGACCCAGGTTCTGCTCTCAAGGATAGAGCAATCTGGTAGGGAAGAGACACATGCACACTAAGCAGCATGTGCAGTGTGCATCAAGAGAAGTAAAACAAAGTGCCCCGAAAATACATATGTCACTATCTGTCAATGAGACAGGATTGGGGCAGGCTTCACGGAAGAGGCACCAGGGTTGATGGTTGATGGTTTGCAGTCTGGAGAGAAATGGCTTCGATGATAGGATCCCCAGGGCCCATTAATCTA